CAAGTTAAGGTATGTAAAAAAAAAGTGTTTCACAAGTGACACCTTACCGCAGCAAATATTCCGGCATTTGAAGCTGTGCCAAGACAAGCTTCTCTTAGACGTGACCTGTTTTACTTGTAGGGTCAGGCGGACATAGTATGTAGATTCATGCTGGGGGTAACTAGGCCTACCATATGAGTTAGGTGGCACCTCCCTGTAATGGTGGTATAACAGGAGTATAAGAGGAACCCGATAGAATCACCACTGTCCCTTCTATTCACCACTGGTGGACGGGGGTCCACCTAACCCTAAACCCTAAACTATACCCAACAGAAGATTATTATATGAGTTATAGGCTTTGTAGGTATACTTAGTGAACCCTAAACCGGCCCTAAACCCGACTCTCCAAGTAGGGACTTGGCGGAGATTGGTCTGCTCAGGATGTCTCATGGTTGGGTTTAGGATCTAGGATTTAGATTTGAGGGTTTAGGATTTGGGGTTGAGGGTTCAGGATTTAGGGTTGAGGGTTCCGGGTTTAGTGCTTAGAAATTCGGGTTTAGGGTCTAGGGTTGAGGCTTTGGGATTTAGGGTTTGGGGCTTAGGGGCTGAGGGTTTGCATGCAAAGATCAAGGTACAGCAAGACCAGAGAGCCCCGGGCTGCCGATTGTTGGTTGCAGGATCTCTTGACTTCGTAAGCTTACTTAGTAACAGGGGTTATGGGGATTCTACTAGAGATAACAGGGGATACTTGGTAGACTTACCCTTTTCCCTAAACTAGAAGCCCACTAGGCAGGTGAAAACTTTACTCCTGGCGATGTATGGGGGATACGAGGTAGACTTACTGAGTCAAAAGATCATCCAAGTAGACCCTAAGGTCTTGAATCTAGATAGTAATTTCCATTTTCTTTTCCACTGTCCATAAGTACATCCCTATACAATCCCTGAACCCTAAACCCTAAACCCTTCACCCTAAACCCTAAACCCTAAACCCCTAAACGCCTAAACCCTGAACCCCTAAACCCGAAACCAAAAACTTAATCCCGATCATCCAAGTAGCTGCAGAGGCGTGGCCTACGCCAGTGCGATGAGTTGGGGACTGAGCTTGGCTCAAAGACTTTAAGTTTGGGGTTTAGGGTTTATGTAGGGTTTAGGGTTTAAAGTTTAGGGTTTAAGGGTTAGGTTCAGGGTTAAGGGCTTTGTACACTTAATGTTTGTACCCTTAGGTTTTGGATCCCAAATACCATTATTTAGGGCCATATTCTATGGTTTAGGTCCCAAAGCCCAAGGGTACAAACCCTAAGGGTACAAAGGATAACTCCCTGATTGGTAGGGCATGTGCCTTCGGGCTCAAGAAAAAAGGTGGCTTTGGTTATCCCGACCCCTGAAATTGGGACCTTATTGTAGATGTTTCATAGATTTTGGGGTGTGGGCTCCCAACAAAAAAACTGTTTTCTGTTTTTGGGATGAAAGGTTCAGGGTTTGCTTGGGTTTAGGGAGCGTGGCATCTTTCAGTTAAGAAGGGCCAAGTACTGTGTTTTAAGGTTTAACGTGGATTTCCACAGCCGGGACTTCCGAGACCCTGCAGAGGACGTTAGAGACAAGACCACTTCAGGACAATAGTGAACAGGGGCACAAATGTCCTTTTTTATTTTAACCCATGAGGCGGCACGCAGGGAAGACCGCATCTTAGACCATTTCGGGAACAATTGTTTCGGAAACAGCCCATCTACTTTACACCCTAGGAATTACAGTATATAGGGAATGCTGAGCAAGATTCTACTCATCCATCTTATTAGACAGCTGTTTTGAGGCATGGCTGTGACCCAAATTCAAATGTCACGAAGACAATCGCCCTAGTGTGGAACCCAAAACAATTACCTACATTTTCCCGCTGTAATACCTTTGATAACTATCTCTTAGTATGCCCGAAAACCATCATTTTCATCTTGCGGGCCTCTACCTTGTTGGGGCTTAATAGGGAATATGGGAATATATTATACAGGGATTATGTGGTGAAGATATATTCCCTTGTTCCCTACTAAGCTCCAGTAAAAGCTACATTGCTATTCTCTGGTGTTGGGGGTCTTGCTGTGGATCAGTGAGTCCACCACAATGCTGTGGAAGTTCTGTGCGAACCCTAAACCTAAACCTTGAGCCCCAAACCTGGAACCCTAAACCCTGAACTCTAAACTCTAAACCCTGACCCCTAAGCCGTAAACCCTGTAGGTTTCGCGATGTGACGGCTCTGGATCTAGCACGCCTCCTACCTCCCGACCTTTTTGGCGCAAGGGGGCCCGGTACACTGGGGCTTGTTACTTCGGCTTACCTGATGGTGATTTAGGGTTTAGGGTGTAGTGGGTACTTCTTCATGGGCTTACAAGCCGCTGAAAAGAGTTCAGGAGTCCTGGACTTCCAAGTGTGTAGAATTGCCTTTTGGGTGTTTTAGGCTATTGTTTTGCTTACTTTTCGGGTTCAGGGTGTAGCAGTCCGACTTACAAGCCCAGATGCAACGACTTTGAACCTATGGCTCCGTCAGGGCGTCATCGATGTAGCTATTAATTCGGGGTTGAGGTATCTGAGCTAATGTAGGGGACTACTATAGGGGTTATGAAGGGGGATACGAGGAGTTTAGACAACCCTAAAGCCATAAACCCCTAAACCCTCCCAATTTATTCCATGCTACGCTACACTGATCCCAACAGTCGGCTATGGTTTTTTTGGCATTTAGGGTTTGGGGTTCTAGGCTTTGCAGCTTTAGGATTCTGGGGGTTTGGGTTTCTAGGGTTTAGGGTTTTAGGGTTTAGAGATATAGGGTTAAGGTTTTAGGCTTCAGGAGTTTCGGGTTTAGGGTTTCAGGGTTTGTGGTTTTGGGGTTTAGGTTTCAGGGTCTAGGGTTTTGGGGTTCAGGGTTTTTGGGTTTAGCATTTTAGGCTTTAGAGGTTTAGGGTTTGGGGTTTGCTATCGTCTTTTCGAAATGGCCTGTTTACCCGTCAATAACCTCAATTAAGGGGGGAATTTAGGGGGGAAAGTAGTATAGATGGGGGTAGTTGGGAACCCTAAATCCTAAACCCTAAACCTGAACCTCAAATTCCCTGAGTTTGGGCAACCGCCCCAAGTAGAGACCTATGGAGCCCCTCTGCAGTGCAGGGTTGGTGTCCAGATGGGGTGCTAGTAGGGCTTTTGGGACACGTAGGGCAAACCTAAGTGGATATAGTCTAAACTCCTTAAAGGCCTTAAAGGGGTTGTATAGGGTTTAGGGTTTGGTTTGGGGTTGGGTGGGTTTACATAGTGGATTATATACAGGAGTATTATAGGGCTTATTAAGGGGGATACTAGGAGTTTAGATTACAGCTCAAGTGGTAAGCAAGAAATAATCTACGAACCTGACAAGTACTGCTGATTTAGAGAAGATTCGTACTTGGCATAATGCCTACATGATTTGTTGGCTTCACGGCGTGTTCTTGGCCGTGGAGTTACCTAAAGCTAGACAGCCTATGTCCAAACCCTAAACACTGGGCCTTCTAACTTGCGTAGGTGCATGTGCATCAGGGTTGCAAAATGCGACGGCCTCGAGATGGTCAGGTACCTCCTCATACTGCAATCCTCTTTCTGAATCATTATGCACGGGGCTTTATGTTCCAGCATACTTCGTCTCAAGCCATTGCAACTCCGATACCTACAGCTGCTGAAGCACCTGAGGGTTGCCGAACTATCGGGTTCCTTTTTTGGAGTTTAGGGTTTAGGGTTTAGGGCTCATAGGGTTTAGGGTTAGGATTTTGGTCCTTCACGAGGGGGACCTCCATTTTGGGAGATGACTATGGACTATGCAGATTGTGTTCTTCCCGCCAGCCTTAACACGAGGGCTTGTGTGAACCTACGACCACATGTGTATGTTTTGTTTACGGGGACCCTAAACCCTAAACCCCAGACCTTAAGTAGTCCCGAATCCTGTGTGGGATTCTATCCTCTTTGGTGGCCTGTATGCTAA